ATTAAAATCAAACATAAATTGTTCGCGAAACAGCACAAACAGCATTTTATTACGTTAAAAATAAGTTTTTTAAGGGAATAACTTAATAAATAATAAATGTGTATAATTTATTTATTTTTTAGTTAAATTTGTACTTGTAGCTACATGACCATTGATCCTTGGTTTAAGTATTTGATTAAAAAAATATTTGTACGAACTTGATGTTTGTCCTTGTGGAAATTTTTCTCTGAGAAAGTCTTACTTTCTCTTAAAAAGTCTGAATAATACTTATTAAGTCGGAAAAAGTCTGAATAAGACTTATTAAGTCGGAAAAAGTCTGAATAAGTCTTATTAAGTCAGACTAATAGCAAGATTTGGGAGTCTTCTGGAAGTGTTAATAAGACTTTTTAAGACTTAATAAGACTTAGTAGAGAAATGGTAGGTACCTATGGCGATAAAAATAAATATCCGAAATAATTCATATTTGGTTATCGTAAAATAAAACACATAGAAAAGTTTATTAACATTTTTGCTGTTGTTATAAGCCTATACAACATAATAACATAGGTAAGATGTAATAATTATAACAATTATAATTTTATACATATGATGCGCTTGACATGCTTTCATTGTTTCCATCATAGAAAAAGGAGTTAATATCATGTCTATAGACATGATATTTTCGATAGACTCATAAGACAAATATGGTTGATCTTCGTGTTTACATACAGTGTTGCCATAAAAGTTCCTCACCATAAATTACAAAATACTAAAATAATAATAAAAATGTAACACGATAGAATAAAATAATTGTGCATATTTAGTAAATATACAATATTATTTACTGAAAATTTCTTTTGTTATTATTTTGATATAAATTCGCAAATCCCATACCCGATTTTCGAGTAAAATACTTGCAAACGGCAGTACTGTGTCCCACTGACAGGTCAGCTGTGCTCTAATTGTAACAATGTTTAGAAATATTTGCGTGTATCAAAAGAAACTATTAAAATAAAACGTTCAGTGGCAACTCCTTTTTCTATGGTGGAAACAATGAAAGCATATCAAGCGCATATATGTATAAAATTATAATTGTTATAATTATTACATCTTACCTATGTTATTATATAGGTAATTATGCAATAAACTTGGCTTATAACAACAGCAAAAATGTTAATAAATACTTTTCTATGTGTTTTATTTTACGATAACCAAATACAACCTCTATGAATTATTTCGGATATTTATTTTTATTGCCATAGGTACCTACCATTTCTCTACTAAAAATCTTATTAAGTCTTAAAAAGTCTTATTAACTCTTCCAGAATACTCCCAAATCTTGCTATTAGTCTGACTTAATAAGACTTATTCAGACTTTTTCCGACTTAATAAGTCTTATTCTGACTTTTTCCGACTTAATAAGTATTATTCAGACTTTTTAAGAGAAAGTAAGACTTTCTCAGAGAAAAATTTCCACAAGGGTGCATATTGAAAAAAAGGATTTTATACAATATCTCTAAAACAAAGGAGAACTAAGCAAAGTTGTTGCTTCTGTGGAAAAAATGGCTGTTGACCAGTGTAATTATAATAATTATTAATATGTATATAGTAGAAACCACTAATATATGAACGTGACTCATCCGACACATTCGTACGAAGCAATCTATCGAAGGTCACGGTCCAGTGCAGTCCCGTTTGTAAAAAAAATTGAGTGTAATGTTGGTTGCTATACTTATGATATATTTGCTTTTAAAGTTAAATAATTAACATCTAACATAATTAACATCTACGATAATTAAATAAAACGTAATTTTCTTAGAAACTAATTAATAAATAAACTTTTCTTTTAACTTTAATGAAATATTCTATCATCTGATGACAGAACGTACACTCGTGGCGACATCTCTGATTTTAATAACAAATTTTTAGACCGATCCAACCTCACTTTCTTCCAATTAAATTCTTAGTATAGTCTGAAACACGTTTGGAATTGCATATTCCCCTCTCGTGAAACCGTCAAACTTGTTACAGAATATACTATTCTTTTAACTGTAAACGCAAATATTTCAGAATTGGTGACAAAAAACAAAAATGTTTACGCAGGTCAGGTACAAAGTGAAAGATATTTAAATTGTGTGGATATAAAAACAACTTGCGTTAGTTTCACGAAATTTATTAAATATTGACAATTGTTTCGCTACACAGTAGCTTCTTCAGAATGTATTAAACTAATACTAGTACAAAATTTATATAATAAAAATATTTTTGTATTCTAGCCTAGAATTTCTAGGTAAGGATTTTTATACGACATCTACCTGTGTTACATAATATAAACCACTGCCACTACAACGTTTAAAACAATTATTAATCCGTAAACACACAGTAGAAACACGATATGCAAAAACAAAGATCATATGACATTAGACTGGTTCAAAAAAATCGAATATTTTTTTTTCTTCAAAGCCCGCATTAAAATATCTTCCTAGTAGTAAAAAAAGAAGCGTGAATTTCTATTTTACGTTTAAATAACACAGGAATTCCTTTTTCTTAACTTTGAAATTTTATAACTCGTTTTTGAGTGAACATATTGCAATGAACTCTATATATTTTTGAAGAAAATTGAACGTTCTACAAAAAATCTGTCTAATAATTTTTTCGTAAATTCACTACTTTAATAGTTATTCAAGGTTGAAATTAGATATATAATAAATGTAACGTTTAAATAACACAGGAATTTTTTTTAACTTTTAATTTTATAACTTTTTTTGAGTGGACATATTGGAATGAGCGAAATTTTTTTTTAAAGAAACATAACTTATATAAAATTTTCAAAAAAGATTATACAGGGCGGTCCAGTTTGTGATACATTAATTTTAAGGTAGACTTTCATTAATTAACATTTCTCAAAAATGTTTCCTAAGAAAAATACAGGCCGTCAAAGATTACAAAAAAACTAGTTTTCTCTTTATAACTTTTAAATCACAACATCAGATTTAGCACAAAATGTTATATAGTCAGTGCCTTAATTATTATTGTGGGGGGACTTCTCCCCTTTTCACTTCAGTGTTTGACGCCACTAAAAATTTTAAAATATTAAATAAATTTGTAGGTCAAGTTTTTAATTTAGAGAAAAAATTTACTCCTGTAAAATTTTGATTTGGGTCTTTGTTTCTGAAATATTTGCTCAAAAATGTTTCCTCGCAGAGACGCTTTCCGTCAAAGTTTACAAAAAAAACTCGTTTCCCCCATCATAACTTCTAAATCACTTAATCAATTTTTATCAAATTTTGTACACAATATAGACAATGTCTTAGTAATGATGTGGATAATTATTTAAAAAAACATCAGTGGCGCAGTTACTTGGGGGGCTGCTCCTTTTTTCACCTTAGGCGCCACTGGAATTTTTTTAAATAATAAACACATTTTTAGATTATCTGTTTAATTTAGAGAAAAAAAATACTCATGTAAAATTTTGATATAGTGCTTCATTTTTTAAATTATTTATTTATTTATCCAAGAATACTTTTGCCGCAGTTTTTTTGGAGTGTGTTCCCAAATATTTCAAAAACGAAGCCCTAAATTAAAATTTTAGCACAGTAGTTTTTTTATCTCTAAATTGAACAGACAATCTAAAAATGTAATTTTGCGAGGAAACATTTTTGAGCAAATATTTTAGAAACCAGGCCCCAAATCAAAATTTCCCAAGAGCAAATTTTTTCCCCTAATTAAAAACTTGACCTAAACATTTATTAATTATTTTAAAATTTCCAGTGGCGTCAAAGACTGAGGTGAAAAGGGGAGCAGCCCCCAAAGTAACTGCGGCACTGATGTTTTTTTTAAATAATTATCTACATCATTATTCAGGCACTGACTATATTACATTGTGTGCCAAATTAGTTTTGTGGTTTAAAAGTTATGAAGAGAAAACTATTTTTTTTGTAAACTTTGACGGCCTGTATTTCTATTAGGAAACATTTTTAAGAAATGTTTTTTATGAAAGTGTACCTTATTTTTGATGCTTTATCACTTATTAAAATTAATGTATTACAAACTGGACCATCTTGTACAATAATGAGTGATAAGGTTTATTATTATGCCACCAATTGAAAAAAAACGTTAAATTTATTATATGTCTAATTTCAACCTTGAATAACTATAAAAGAAGTGAATTTATGAAAAAATTATAGGAGACATTTTTTGTAGAGCGTTCAATTTTCTTTAAAAATATGTGTCGCTTATTCCAATATGTTCACTCAAAAACGAGTTATAAAATTTCAAAGTTAAGAAAAAAGAATTTCTGTGTTATTTAAACGTAAAATAGAAATTCACGGTGAGCGACCTCTAAATATTAATATTAAGAGCTACAATTTTCACAGGCTTCTTTTTTCACTACTAGGAAGATATTTCAATGCGGGCTTTGAAGAAAAAAAAATATTCGATTTTTTGAACCAGTCTAATATGACATATAAAAACAAATGGTCGACGGTAAAGTTGGTTGCCTTACTATGTAATAAAATAAAATAAATGCCTAAAACACGAACTCTACTGACTTCCAACAAAATTAAGTAACAAGCTAGGACACAAGCGTCATATGTCCATCTTTGTCCAACACCTAGGCAGTTTTACATCACAGATGGCGCATTTTAGACCGGATGCTTAAAAACCTACGTGTGAGTACATTTACCGCTGCATCGAATGTACAAGACAAGTAAAACATTACTGCTAGCATGTCTGAGATACGTTTGGTTTGACATTTTTTACTCATTTATTTTAATGTAACATAGGTAATTTATCAAAAAACATCTTTGAAAGTTGACAGACCACAAAATATTTAGAAAATGTAATCACTTACAATCTTAATCATTATTAATTAAAATGTATATTAAATTACAAAGCTAAGAGGTCTCTTGCATAAAATTATAAATCAAATGACTAGTCTGGTTTGTCTGTGCAAAACTAACAAACTTTTTCCAATATGTGACTAACACAAAATACATGTGTCCCCTTTGTTTGTATTTTAGATCGACTTAGGCCATCCAATAAGAAAATCTCAATCTCCATGGACTCTTTGTTCGTATAGCATTGACTTGGAGCACCCGACTTACATGGACTCGCTTGATCGGCAAGATTCGGTTCCCTGTTCGGCAGCCACCGACACGTCGGCCAGCCAACGATTCCAAACTGCAAACACGTTTTTGTGGAACGCTGGCGGCTCGAGCGAGCGCGAGTTTTATGACAGCATTGATTCGAATATGGCGTCCAGTTTGTATCAGCACGGAGAAGAGTTGGCCGAGTGCGACTCGTTGGAGAAGCAGGTGTCGTATGGATCGGAAAAAATTTAAACAACGTTGTAATCCATACTTGGGGATAAAGACGTTTTTGCGAAAAAATCTTTTTGTTCCTAAATATGAGTCTTGCACGTTTCATCATTCCAGTATACTATAAAGCATTATCAAGTTAAATTTGTTAAAAATCAAATTTATTTACCCTTGATGTCTGGTGCTTGTAAATAAGTATTTTTTTATTTTAAACTTGTAAATATTATTGAGCTTGTATTTGTATGTTTATAATTTACCTTCGCAATATTGTATCAAATGCACGTGCACCTTTAGATAATATTATTGTATCATAATTAGTATTTTTAAAGTAAATACCTGTTTATATAGTAAGGGGTAATTCCATTTATTAGCCACCAATGAGTGCACCTCATATACTCTAATTTTATTTCTTTTTTGACTGTAAATATACAAGGACGCAAGAAGTGAAAAAAACTCCCCTTTTCTTTTCTCCCCCTATCACCTAACATTAAAAAAATTGTACTTCTTTTGCTAATAAAGCTATCGACATTAAACAAACTGTTAATTGTTAAGAAAATATTTCTCTTTTAAACCATATAGGACACATTTAGTTATTGATGCCCTAAATGGTCAAAATACACAATAATTTTATTCATGGTTATTGAAGGCTAATAAGTGCATGTGATGATAAGCATAAATTGGTTTAAATCGACTCACTCAAACATAGCCTTTTTAAACCATGAAATGGCTGAAAATAGTGATTTTTCGAAAACATGAATTTTTATTATATTTTTTAGAACTCTTAGCCAATATTATTTGAAAATGTTTTCATTGCTTTTATAAAGAGTAAGAGTAATTTTGCTGGCAAGTTGTTCTAAGAATAAATGAATTTATAAAATTAGACAATTTTGCCAAAAAATTGCATTTTAAAAAAAATCCCAAAGACCATTTAGGGCATCAATAACTAAATGTATCCTATATGGTTTAAAAGAGAAACAATTAACAGTTTGTTTAATGTCGATAGCTTTATTAGCAAAATAAGTACAATTTTTTTAATGTCTAATGTTTAGGTTTGCACAGTAACTTTTGCATAGTCCTGAATAAATAGGTGAAGGGGGGAGAAAAGAAAAGGCGAGTTTTTTTACTTCTTGGGTCCTTGTCTATGTACAGTTAAAAAAGAAATAAAATTAACAAATTAATAAATAATTATAAATTAATAAATATAACGTGCACTCATGGTGGCTAATAAATGGAATTACCCTAAGAAAATTATTATAAATCTCGAGTGAACAAGAAGAAATGAAAAAAGGTTATTTTTTTAATCCCTATTTTTAAATTATATTAGTTAAACCTCGTCGTATTTAATCAAAACGATTTATTCACTCGATAATAAAGTAACATATTTATTTTTAAACTAGAATTTTTTATTTAAAACTTTTTATTTGCTGTGTAGGACTGTGATAGGTAATATACAGAAACTGTGGCAGTTTTTTACATGTATGTTCCTTTTTTATTTTCCAAAATTAATTTAATATGCAGTAATATGTATATCAAAAGATCTCAAAATTAATTTCTTTTTACTAATAGTTTTATTGTCAGATTGCTTCTTTCTGATGCATAAACCAAGTTAAATAATTTTTTGTGTAATATAATGTTATAATATAAAATCTATATAAAAAGACTGTATAAGTACTCAATGTTTATTAACTTTATTTACTTACTAACAGTCAAAGAGCCACAATATTTGTGATATAATTAGAATGCTCATCACATGTGTAGCTAAAAGGATATTATAAAATGTAAATTTGCAAATGTTAAAAAAGACAATTAAAACTTACTATTTCACGTGCAAGTTTATTAAATACATGTTAAGGTTGTTTTTATTAGTATTTTTGACTGATTTAGTTTGATAAACTTGCACATTAGCAATTATTGTAAATATACCTGTTTATATTTTAAATCACATATAATAAACAAAGTAAGTCCTTATGATTTGTTTCTTTTCTTTTCTGATTTACGTTTCATTGCTGCCTCCATCCGGGTCATCTGCTCTTTAATTTTTTGAACAGTTTTTTCTGCTTCTTCAAGTAACAGCTTTTGTCTAGGTAAGTAACAGAATAAGTTAAAATGTTATTTATTTTATATTAAAATATTTAATGGGTGCCCAAACTAATTACAATTCTATTAAAATAAAATTAAAAAAAAAAACGGTGTTTAGAATTCTAAAATAATTTTAAAAAAATGCGATAGGTAATATTTTTCGCCTGCTAGATTTTGAGTGACCTCTACCATCCTACCCAGGTAGCACACTGACGTTTGCTGACGTTAATATGACGTCTTATGACGTTAGCAACGTCAGCAGACGTCAGTGTGCTACCCCCAGGTAGCACACTGACGTCTGCTGACGTTGCTAACGTCATAAGACGTCATATAAGCGCCATATTGGAATTTTACATGCATGTAAACCATGGTGAGATAGAAAAACATCAAGGAATTAAAACTACATAAGTTATGGGCTTGCATACCCTGCTTAAAATACCCCATAGAGACCCTGTTCAAACCGATAGATATTTGTATCAGAATGTATGGTGTTTCTATATGGTGTATCGGTATGTATAGGACCCATAGTTGGGATTTATGGTTGTTCTATAGGGATGTCCACCTTTGATTTATTTGCTATTGGTTTCAATGGGGAAAATACACATAAATGTAGAAATTAGTTTTCCCCCATAGGACCCCACAGGTTTTAATAAAATTTTGTCAAATGTTTTATGGTTGCTCTATAGGGATATCCCTATAAATCCTTCATTGAGTTATTTGCTATCAGTCTCAATAGGGAAAATACACATAAAGGTAGAAATTATTGTTTCTCCCATAGGACCCCATAGGTTTTAATAAAATTTTGTCAAATGTTTTATGGTTGCTCTATAGGGATATCCCTATAAATCCTTCATTGAGTTATTTGCTATTGGTCTCAATAGGGAAAATGTAAAAGTTATGGTGTGCCTATAGGTAATTTCCTATAAATTTTCTATCGGGCCGTATCCGGAAAAAACCATGGACAAATGCACATATTGAATCCGGTAGCGCCAGATAGATTATTTTGTATAGGTCTTTATGGGGTATTTTAAGCAGGGTATGCAACTTTTCTGTAATAAAACTGACCTGGTAGCTCTTTAAATAAATATAAAATACCTATAGAAGTATAATACATAAACACATAGAAATGACCCTGTATATGGAGTAGTGATGTAACAAATGTCGATTTTCACACATTGTCAATGATAGGCAATCCCATAGAAATAATAATCTTGGTTGCCCATTATGATACTACAAATTCTGGTTGCCTATCATAAACAGTGTTTCCAGATTGAGCTATTTATATCTTTTCGTCTTCTTTGACTCTCATACATTCCAGATGGCTAGAGGCTACTACTTTGGCCTAAATTTTTAGCAAATTGGCTATAAATGGTCTACAAGTTTTTAAAAGAATATAAAAAGACATTTCCCATTAATTGAATGGTTTTTGATCAAGCACGGAATTCTATAGAGAGAATGGTATTAATGCAGGCTTATAAGTCACTATAGTGACTACAAAAAAAGAAAAAAAAGTTATTTAGCATTTTTTTTATTTGACAGTTTGCAATTAGTTTTTGTTTTCGATCGGTATTAATTAATACCGTTATTTATCTAGGGCATGGGGCCTATACAATGAATAAGAACTCAATAGGATGAATTGACAGAACCAGCAAATCGCACAAATTCCCTGCTTAAAATACCCCATAGAGACCTATACAAAATAATCTATCGGGCGCTACCGGATTCAATATGTGCATTTGTCCATGGTTTTTTCCGGATACGGCCCGATATAAAATGTATAGGAAATTACCTATAGACACACCATAACTCTTAGATTTTCCCTATAGAGACCGATAGCAAATAACTCAATGAAGGATATATAGGGAGATCCCTATAGAACAACCATAAAACATTTGACAAAATTTTATTAAAACCTATGGGGTTCTATGGGGGAAAAACTAATTTCTACATTTATGTGTATTTTCCCCATTGAATCCAATATCAAATAAATCAAGGGTGGATATCCCTATAGAACAACCATAAATCCCAACTATGGGTCCTATACAAACCGATACACCCTATAACACCATACATTCCGATACAAATATCTATCGGTTTGAACAGGGTCTCTATAGGGTATTCCCGTAACCGGTACTGTACGACTTTCAGGTCATAAACGGTACTAAGGGGTCTGAGAGACACCTGCCTTTTAAAATTATAATTTATATTATTTTTTTTTATTTGAGGCTTTGGGGATACTAGGAAATATATATATAAAGTTAGAATATCACCAAAAATAATACCTGAATAAAAGAAAAATTTAAACAAATGGGTTTTAATCAAAACATGCACAAAAAGTGCAGTAGTGCAAACTTTGTGATTAAACTATAAAAAATATTAAACCAAACAAAATAAAACGATCTTTATTTCGAAGAATATACCTTAAAAAATAACATAAACAAAAAAAATTTAAATATATCTTTTTTTAACAGCAAAAATAACTTCTTCAAACTATAGCTAATTTTTACAATTATTTTTTCCATAGTAACTTTTTTGTTTTTTTTTTCAAATTCTTAAAAAAAATCAAATTCTTCACTATCTGACCCTATAAAATTATTTTCTAAAGACTCTTCACAGACAAGTCCTGAATCGCTGCTGTGATTATCTTCAACGACCTAATCACTATAATGGTTATGTTGGATACATCTATATCACTTATATCGCTGTAGATTTCATAAAACCACTACATTACAGTTTCCTTAAAGCCCTTCTTATCACTTTGGACACTTTTAGAAGGCCCTTGTTGCGAATCCATAACGAATTAATTGTTTTATAAAAATTACGTAAACGGTACGCAGTGGTCTACTAGACACCTCAACACTTTGACTTAATAATTTGTCCGTTTGACAATCCAACTTGTTCAAAGTCTGAGAGCATATTGATAACTGTTCAACTTAAAAGTATTG